GCCGCTCTGTCCTACCCATCTCGGCACCAGCTCCAGGTGTTCACCGCGCTCAACAACCACCATCTGACTCAGCCCCACCCCTCCCCGCTGTGTGGTAGTATTTGATTTATTTTAATTATTTTTTTTTAACACCATTGTGAACAAATCCCCGAGCAGTAAAGTCTGGGGGCGTTATTTGAGCAAAATAGCTGGAGGCAGAAAATATTCTACAATTACACATTCCAAAAAACCCGTGCAGGGAAAAAAAATACTCTGCAGTTAGTGTATTTTTAGGTTCACGGAAAATGGAATAAATATTTAACAGGAATAACGGCACATTTTACTTCTTTGAGGCACTTTACGAAGATTGTTATGTCCTACCACAGCCTTGGCCATGGATCTTTAGTAGGATATTGCCCACGTTTGGGGCTTTGTTGCCTCTTTTGGCCCTGGGGATAGTAGTCCCCTGTGTCCGGCCATCCGCCGTGGCTTAGCAGTCAGTCTGTCCCTCCCTGGCTGAGCCCTTCCCCACCCTGCTAGCACGGCTGTGCCCAGCCCCACCATCACGGACACTTTCCCCACCAAGGGAAAAAGCTCCTGGGAGTTTCCAGGAGCGTGAGCCAGCACCCACCCAGGGTGCTGCGACTCGTCCCTGCGCCTCCAGTGCACTCAGGACCACCAGGTGCCGTGTGGTGCTCAAAAACTGCCCGTAGCACAGCAGAGGGATGGATGTGGAGAGGTTAGGCTTGGTTGATCCCAGGTCCTCCGTGCTTCTCTTTCCATGGCAGCTCAGCCTCTCGCAGTCTTTGCCGCCCACTGCCCGTCGCCACCGAGGAGAGGAGGGTCTCCTTCCCAATGGCTCCTCAGTGTGCTCTTGCTGGGGTGCTTTTCCATGGGGGATTGCGCAGAGAGGGAAGATCTTGGCTGCTCTGGGGTGAGGATGATGAACATCCCTGGCCAACGAGCACCTGCCTGAATAGCTGAGCCCTTTTTCTCCCTCCCGTAGGTTTTTGGCAATATCAAACTAGATGAGGAAAGCCACATTAACCGCCACAACAACTTCCGCAGCTTCCTGGGCTCCCTCATGCTCCTCTTCAGGTGAGCAACATAAGAAACTCCTTTGGTGGTGTTTTCAGCTCCTTTGGTGGTGTTTTTGGGTGCAGGCGTGCCAGGAGCCGGGCTGGGCGGGTTCTCACTGCAGGCTGTTTGGTGGAGGTCAACTTTTGGTGCTAGAGAGCACCTGGGCAACACATGGCCACAGGAGCACAGGAACTCCTGTTTTTTTCCACCCTGCCCCAAAAAGGATGGCTATCTCCTTGCTCTTTGGGCAGGCTGGCTCCCCCCCCGTGCCAGTAGCTACACCCTGACATGACTGCACTCAGGTGGGTCCAGCTTGGTTGGTGCTGACCCAGCACCTCATTCCTCTGCACGCCGGGGACATGCTTAATTCGTGGAGGGGGTTGCATAGCTTCTTGGGAGGTTTCTCCCGGGAACATCCTGCTGCGGCTCTGTCCTGTGCCACCGTGAGCTGCTGAGCATGGCTGCGTTGGGCGCAGGAGTGCCACGGGAGAGGCATGGCAGGAGATCATGCTGTCGTGCTTGGAGGGCAAAGGCTGCGAGCCGGACACGACGGCGACATCGGGGCAGAACGAGAATGAGCGCTGCGGCACCGACCTGGCCTACGTTTACTTCGTCTCCTTCATCTTCTTCTGCTCTTTCCTGGTGAGTTCCTCCCCACTGAGAGCCTCGGTGGTCCCTTTTATCAACCCCTCAGCTTGCACCTCCACCATAGGGTCATCTGTCGTCTTCCAGCTTCCCATGATTACCCTTCCTTCTCTCTCTCCCTTCCCTTCTCTGCTCCCTCTCCCTCCACTTTCCTTTCTCTCCGCCTTTTTCCCTTTCACTTAGATGCTCAACCTGTTTGTGGCGGTCATCATGGACAATTTTGAATACCTGACTCGGGATTCCTCCATCCTTGGGCCTCACCATCTAGATGAGTTTGTCCGGATCTGGGCAGAGTATGACCGAGCAGCGTGGTATGTAGCCAGCTCCTTCTCTCCCAAGTGGCCTCTCAGAGCTGGTTCTAAGCAGGTGCCTCTGTGTTCCGCTGTTGGAAACCGGCCGTGATACGTGGGACAGTCAGGGAAGGGCTGCTCTCGCTTGCGGTCGTTACAAGGGCAGCAGCCAGTTCCTACGATGCCACCAGGCACGAGTGTCTTGGGTGATGTTCACAATTTGCCACAGTGTTTATCCTGAGTGCTGGAGGTTCCTGATCTTCCCCTCCTCCCCGGCCAGCAGGCAGGTCCCTCTCAGCCTCCTTCCCTGTCCTCGTGTGCCAGTTGGGTACCTCTGCCCTGAGGTACCACCGCCTGGTCCCCAGCACCCACAGCTCTCCAGCAGAGCAGGGCTGAGCATGTCTCCATGGGGAGAGAGAGACCCTCATGTCACTGGGGGCTCCTGCCAAGTCACCTGTGGAGGACCTAGTTTGGAATGCGTTTGATGGGCTTGGGGAATAGTGTTCCTGTGCTGGCCAGCCCGCTCACCCCTCCGGAGACAGGAGGACTTTGTTTCCTGTGCTCACGCCTTTGCTCACAAGGACCCCGGCCAACAGTGCTCCCGCTCGCAGGCAGCAGCCTGTCCTCAGCGATGGGGTGGGTTCACAGCGGCCATGTGGAACTAGATGATGTTTAGGGTCCCTTCCAACCCAAACTGTTCTTTGATTCTATATATACCCTGGGTGGCCAGGCTTTGGCTCTGCTCCCGCTGCTGCTGCAGAGGAGCTGCTCTCCACCACTCCCACCAGCATTGTCTGGGGCAACCCTAGGGCAGCGTGGAGCCCTTGGCAGCTCTGGGAGCATGTTTGCCCTCCGCTCATTCCCAGCTCCATGAGGGCATCTCGTGTGGCGCCTTCCTCCCTCCCTCAGCCCAGGGGCAGCCTCTATTGAGCCATGACCCCCCACCCCTGTGCTGGGGAACATGGGCCATCTTAGCTCAAGAGCCCTTGGCAGCTACACGTGCTCCCTTTGGAGACTCTTCACCTCCACTGCTCATGTCCCACTTCTCAAGAGACCAGCTCCAGCCAAGATAATTTTTTATGCCTAATACCATCAGCTCCTGGCATAGTTTCCTCCACTGTTTCTGTCCAGCCCTGTGCAGCTCAGTGCTGGCCAGGTTCCTCCTCCAGCACCCTTGCTGCTATGCAGAGCCCCCATGAGTGGGTGGGTTTGCCTGTTAGTGGGCAACTGTGCCTTGTGCAAGGGGGAGAGGTCAGCATGGGTGAGTAGATGTCCTGATGGACAATCAGAGAAGGGAGAAGAGGTGAGAGCAGTGAAACACCCAGCTGCTTGGTGTGGGGCTTCTCGCCAGTGGCTTTTGGGAAGGATTTCTTCACACCAGGCACTTCATTAACTCTCACCCCCCCGTGTTGGTGGCCTGGGTCTGCAGGACAGTCACTGGAAAAGCACTTGAACTGTCCTATCGATGTCATGCACCTCTCTGATTCTTGAGCAAGCCGTGCTCTCTCATCATGATACATAGCCAGTGGTTAGGGGAGGTGCACAGGAGCTGGTGGTGCTGGGCCTGTGGGGGCAGTCCTGGCGCCCACTGCTGGGTGAGGAACGGGTGAGTACATCCAAACGGGTCCCACCACCTGAGTGGGGCAGCAGTTCTGCATCCTGACACCGACACCATCACGTGAAGGTCTTGCAGGAAGACTGCTCCATGCCTGGGGAGGGGCTCAGGGATGGGTTTTGCCCAGGTGGTTGGGTTATCTCTGGCCAGTGATGGAGAGGGCATGGGAGAAGAGCAAGGAGAAACCAGAGGCAAAGGTGCTGGGTAGGATGGTAACGCTGATCTTTGCCTCCTTGTGTGGTTTCCCTCCAAGCTTGTCCAAGGATGCCCAGGAGGCTGCAGCATGCTGCACCTCAGCACTTCCACCCCACACGGTCCTGCTTCCCGAAGGGCTCTGCTCTGGCGTGGAGTGGGGAGCTCAGCATCCGATGGCCCCCGTGCCCTCTCCTGCCAGCTCTCCGCCTCGACGGCTTCCTTATTCCGGCCAGTGCAGGAAGGATACAGGCCGTATCCTGCCATGATCACACCCAGGCCTGGGGAGATGTGCTTCTGTGGGCAAGGAGGGGTGTGTGTATGGCAGGACTTGCTTCTAATAATGTGTACCCTTGGCAGAGCGTGGTCTGGTGGTCAGAGCACAGGACTGGCCCACGAGAGACCCAGGTGCCAGTGCCAGAGCCACCGGTCACCAGCTGGTCACATTATCTCTCCCCGTCTCAGGTTCCCCAGATATTGGAGATACAAGTGACTCAGCTGCCAACCTCTTTGGGAGCTTGTGAGGACCAGAGAGTTGATTGTGCAAGGGCAGGCTCTCTGGTGATGTGATGGCACCTAGCTCCATCTGAAGGGCTCGTGGTGGCTAGAACCCAACCAAGCTGCAGTCTCACCTCCTCTAAAGTCCCAGCCCTCTCCCATCAGACGTAGGTGTCCAGGGGCATGATGAGGAAGAGCGATGGGGTGGTGTTCACCACCAAAACTATCCTCCTCCGGGGTCGAGATGGGTCAGTATGAGGTATGAGCTGACTCAGTGGAGAAGGCAGTAGTTGATGCTCACAGCTTTCACCTCTCTGGGTCCGACAGAGCCAGGAGGAGAAGACCCGTGCACCCCCGGGGTGGGGTTCTTAAGTTCTCCATCCTCCCCTCCACCTTCTCAGTGTCCTATTAACCCACCTGTGCTTCCTTTGCAGCGGCAGGATCTCGTATAAGGATATGTACAAATTAGTACGGGTGATCTCGCCTCCTCTGGGCCTAGGAGAGAACTGCCCCTAC